TAACTATGTTCTTGAAAAAAGGAAAATCAACAAATAAACTCCAACAGCAATCACAGCAGAGAGCAACCTTCGCCAAAAGAATCTCTGAATGCTCTGGATGGGGCAAAGGGTTAATGTGTTCAGCTGCTGACAGTTTGGAAGTTTGGTGCCTCTGAAGAAAGCCCTGCCAGTCTACATCTGTACAATCAGCCCTGTGAACCCAAAGAGCACAGTTCTACTCTGCCAACCAAGGATTCACCACGAAGTCCACAGTCACCAGTAGGACAATTTCCTGAAATCCTCTTCTCTAAGTTAAAACTTTTTACAAAAATATTGATAAAGAAACTAACTGGAGTATTTTATTTAATAACAAGTGTGTCAGGATTGGAGAGAAATGAACCCCTTCCATGGAAAATTCATGCCCCCTCCCCAGATAAAAAAAAAACATAAATAGTACAAGGAACACGGGCTGATAAAGAGATGCAAAAACCCAGAAGACATTAAGTTTTTGTCATCGGCTTTATAAACTAAAATCTTTAAGAGAAGCATGGAAAGGGTAGCCCCATTTGCATATATGTCAAATTCCGTGACCTGGGGCTAGTCGTGCAATGTCTCTGGGCCTGTGGAGTTGGGTGCTGCATCAGGGAACCATCCAGGTTGAAAGTCATGATTCTGCAATGCTTCAACCCAATAAGCACACTAAAAGGGTTGGAAGCTCCTCATCTTATCAAACTGTATTCTATAACCTTATCTTTATTAAGTCCTGAATTTAAGATACATCTGTGGTTTGCTCTTTACAGGAAAGAAACCTGCATTTTCTGACAAGGTAAGCTGTTTCCTGGGGTTTTTCTTGTTCACGTCTTGTCTGCATTCTTTGGAAAGAGCTGGGAAACTCACGTGTCTGCCTTCCTGTTTTACAGCCTTCGGTTGCTGTAGGCAGGTAAGACCCGCTGATGCGGGTGTGTGAGGGTGCAGGGTGTGTGCCATAGAGATCTATGATGCTCACCCACAGTCTCTTTTGATCTCTGCAGGTCTCCTGGGGACCATTTACCCAAGATACAGAAACTTCCTTTGCCATCAACCACTGAACGACCTGAAAGAAGCCCCTTGCCAGGGAAGAAGCCACCTGTGCCAAAGTAATTGTCTGCTGTTGCTTGTACTTGTCATTCAGACGAGGGGGTGTCATCGACAGCCTGCCTCTTAGGGCCACACTGGAAGCTAAGAATTATGGGCATGGCCCACTACCAAAGGTGGGTAGTGAGTTCCTTTCACTGCTGGGATCGGCTGCACAAGGTAGACATAAAGGACCAAGGTATCTTTGGAGGACTTTGGGATCTAGGAGAAAGTCGCTTCATCTGAATTGAGCTGTTGCTGTGTGACAAGGAGAGCTTGTCTTCAGAGAGGCAACCATGTGACTGAGCTTCCCTACCTGGTTACAGCTGAGCTTTGACCATGCACAGGGACGCCCTACCTGGTTATAGCTGAGCTTTTGACCATGCACAGGGACGATACCTGCCACATTATTTTTAATACAGGTAGCAGACCAGAAATGACTGGGGCAATGTTTTGAGGGTACTGTAAGTGGTTTCCTGACTGCATGACCACATTTTCTAATTGCTAAAGACTGAGTTCTGCCCTAATATTGCTAAGTTTACTGTAGTGCTATTGGGAGATTGGCTAACCAAATAGCATCATGTGCCTGGGGTCAGGTCCAGCCCCACTCCTAGTTAAGCATATTTCCAAGGCTCCTGTATGTTCCTTCTGAGAAACAGGGGTTCATCATCAGGCCTCAGTTTGGCTGGGAAGGGAGCCATAGCTAACCCCGGCCAGGGCTACTGCTGCTTGCGGCTGCGTCCGCGTCCGCTCTGACCCTCGGCGACCTTAGGTAAAACCTAGCCAGGCATTGTCTGGTCCTGGGTCACCTTCACCATCTGCGACATGTTGGATCCCATTGTGAGGCAAGCCTGTCAAGCCCTTGCATTGTGGGTCTCTCCCCATTCTGCTGGCCCTCCACTGCATCAAACATGATGGCCTCCTCTGGCCATGGGCTTCTCTAAAGGGCGATGCATCTAAAGCATGCTAGACAAAGTCTCGCAGCCTCGCTTCTAAGGACTATTCTGGGACCTGGGCCAGGGCATGTAAAACCAAAGCAAAACCAAGCTCAGTCATGCAGTAGAATCATATTTCAATGCAACAGTTAAAAACTTAAAATGTACGGGAGAAGAAATCTTAGTGAACCAAATATCAAAGGATTAAAAAAAGACGGAATGAGCTGGTGATGGGTAAAGCATCTGACACATAGTAGGTGTTCAATAGCGCTTCCCCTCTTCCCCCTCTCCTCACAGAGAGCATGGCGTGGGCCAGGCAGAAGCCAACACAGCTTAAGATAAGGCACTGAATCTGGGGTCTAGCCGGCTCATCTGGGCCAATGGCACTGAGCCACTTTTAGAAAGCTTGACCTTCGCCGCTCCTCCCCACCCCCCAAAGCATCATTTCCCAACTGTCTTCACTTCAGATAGAGGCTGAGATAACTGTTTCAAAACGTCAGCAAAGGGGCATAATGCCTAAAATGTTTTCATTTGCTCTTAGAAACATCTACTCAGTGAAATTTAATAGCTACAAAGAGTTAGTTTGCTGACTAAACCCTTTTCTCACAGATACATGTATATGTGTGTGTATATATAGAGAGAGATATATAATCATTTGCGGCAGTAGCTACACAGAATAAAGGTTTGCCTAGCTCAGCTCTTAGTGATGACAGAACACCGAGTAAGTGTGCCTCCCCCTCCCCCACCACTGCCTCTCTGCCAGGGGTTTTGGTCCCCACTTTCCTCCACTTCTCCACACCCCCACGCCCCGTCCCTGGGCTTAGAGGGCTTGATTTCACCTTACTAAATTGAGGGAGGCCATCTCTAGGGTGAGGCCGGCTCTTGCAAACCCCTTACTCTGTTTTTCTTCTTCCTTCACCCTGATTCATTTCAGGCATGGATGGGGACTGGACAGACGAGAGACTGTAAGTGTGAACTATGTCGCCACCGCTTTTTTGTAGTGCATATGTGGGTGGGCTCTGGGGAGGTTGGAACGGAGTCGGTGTGCCTTGGCTCCGCCTACTTGTCAGAATAGAACTGAGTTCTGTAGAGTTTTCATTGCTGCTTTTTCACAAAGAGATGGTCAGGCCTTTCTTCTAAGGCATCCCAGGAGGGCCTCCAACCTGCGACCTTTTCGTTCGCAGCCAGGCATGCTAACCCTGCAGCCCCACCCTACTGCCACTGGAAGGGGTCTGACTTGTAGCGATGCTGAGGTTTCGAGGTGATCAGTCTTTGCGGAGCTGCCTGCCACACCTTTCTCCAGCCAGGTGCATGGTGGGTTTAAACCACCAACCTTGAAGCTAGTAGCCTGACCCCGAGACACCAGGGCACCTCGAAGGCCCATGTCCAGGTGGCAAATAACATGGTGAGGGGAACAAGGTGGAAAGGAGGAAGGAGAAGGTGAGGGATGAGCCTCAATCCAGAGTTCCCAAAGGCTCTGATTTCCCTTCCTCTCTCTCCGTGACCTGAAGAAGAGGAAGGGTGTTCCCTGAGTGCCTGCTCAATACAAGCCGCGGTGCTGGGTACTTTAGGGGACTGCCCTTCCATCCCACCTGCTTCCAGCACTGAATAGCCTGTGGCTTCCAAGCCTCCCGGGTCCCAGGCAAAGAAGGATCACTATAGCCTTACCCATGTTTGGGACTCAGTGATCTTCGGAGGACCATCTTTTCCCCTCTAAGAGAAAACTGAGCCTCTGAGGAGTAACACATGTGCCAAGTCCACGGTCAAGTCTGACCCCACGTCTGTCCAATTTCTTCAACACCGAGCACACTGAGGAGGGTCCTACTGGTGCCAATGGTTCACACACTCAGCTGCTCACTCAAGACTTGGCAGTTCGAATCCACCCAGAGTTGCCTTGAATGGAGGTCACATACCTGCTTACCAAAAAGCAGCCACGAGCTACCCCGTGGAACTCACTTCGACTCTCACCACGTGGCAGGGTCGCCAGGATTGGTGAAAACCTCTGAAGCCATCAGATCCTGCTCCCATGCTCCGCCCACAAGTGCAGATGAAAGTGCCAGGGGTGCTGTTGGGAGCAGGCAGACCAACATCACACACGGGGCTGGCTTAGGATCTCAGAATGACTGGGGGAGGCTAAGGAAAGAAGATGATCGCAGTGGGTGACTGAGCCAGGGGGACATCTTCAAGGAGGGGAGGAGATTGGGGTGCTCCTTGAATGATAGGGAGGCCACCGCATACTCCAGCCTCATAGCAGCCTGAGCAAAGGCAGGTGAGGCGCAGTGCCCGTGGACTCGGCAGGACTGTGAGAGCAGTAGTCTTCAGGACACAGAGGAGACGGGGTTGAATGGCAAGAGGAACCCCACATTCTTGAGGTCCCCATCCTCTGGAAGGATGGACACCAGTTGTCATCAGAAGGCAGTTGTGTATCCTTGTGGGGGAGGGCATGGTGGCAGAGTGCTGAGCTATGGGCCCGTGGTGAGTTGACAGGCACGTGAGCATCTTTGCGGCCCTTGGCTGGACTCACTGGTGACCAGGCGAGGGGCGGGCTGTGGCTGTGATCCTTCTTACCTTAGGTCTCAATGCAGGGAAGCTTGGGTGAGAGCCGGCTTCCGCTGAGCCCTTACCACGTGCAGCACATAAGACACCAATGATCCAATCACCATCCCAATGCTTTGAGGAAGATGCTATTTTACTGCCAGCCTAACAAAATAAGCTCAGGTTGGAACGTTATCTCTGATGGTGTAACGGGTTATTCATTGGGCTGCTAACTGCAAGGTCAGCAGTTTGAACTCACCCACCGTTGGGAGGAGAAAAGATGAGGCTCTCTACTCTTGTAAGATTTACAGTCTCAGAAACCCACAGGCGTATTTTCCCTCTTTCCTGTAGGGTCACTATGTGTCCAATAGACTGGATGGCAGCGGAGATTTTCTGTTGTTTTATTTTTAGTGTAAATCGATGGCAAAGCCGTTTTCCCTCTCAGCGCCTCATTGCTTACCTTGTTGTGGTAGCGGTTCATTGTCATTGAGTCTGTCCCACAGCATGGCAACTCCAGGTGTGCATCAGAACCGTGCTCCACGGGTTTCCAACACTGAGACCTTTCAGAAGCAGATCGCCAGGCCTTTCTTCTGAGGCACCTCTGGGTGGATCTGAACCCACAACCCTTCACTTGGTAGTCAAGTTCTTCACCACTGCACTACCATCCTCATTCCGTATCGAGGGAGTGGAGAAGAGACATCTCCCTGCCTGTTCTGCAGTGTTTCTCTGGAGAAGAATGTGTTCTGGAATGCGGGCACACTCGATAAGCCACACGATAAGGAAATAAAACTACA